TTCTTGCTGTGAATGTGAGGAAACACCAGAGCAACCTGTACTTTCTTCTGGCTGCTGCCATCAGAAACAGGCTGATTTCCCTGTTCCCAGAGTCCTTCTGCACTGCTGATACAAATGGTCTGTGTGAAGCACAAAGAACATGATGAGTGCTTTCTGTATTGAGGAATAAAAGTTGCAAGTGGAGACACACAGCTCCTTCAATCCCCCATTTGGATAGAACTGAGAGCATGGTCAGTGTGAAAGCACTGTAGTCCAAGATGGAAAGAGCAGTTCAAGTGGACACTCAAGTGGAGGTTTACATTGGCTGTTAAGATTTTCCAGCTCCATATGGATGCAAAGAAAGGCTGCTCCCATCTAGCAGACAGACAGTGTATCTCAATGCTCAGCTTGATTTCTGCCCATGACTTCCTTCTAGGTATTTTCCAAAGGTGCCATAAAACTCCGCTGAACGTGTATTAGAATAAAATCTACACTATGATACCTTATACCTGCCTGGTTATGTACTAGAAAAACCTGACAAATGCAGATTAAAGCCCAAACTCCACACTGCTCTCAGTTCCAGTGCTACCACCTCACAAGAAGATTGAATAAAATATAAGATCAAGATGAGGCTTTACAAATGTTTCCATATCAAAATATTTCTAAGAAAAGGCGCAGCACCACTGTCTCCAGCAGATGCCTCTAACTTTGAACCAACAGAAGGAAGACTCACTGGCAATCTCCAACATCTCTGCAAATGGCTACCAAGCCTCTAATTCCATGTCCTGCTTCCAAGATCATGTTCCAACACATTTACAGGCAGCAGAAGAAAGAAATCACTTTGCAGTGCAACACTTACAGCGATTGTCCTGGATTCTCAACAGGGCCATTTTAGCTGGTTCCAGGCCACAGCAAGCAATAGAGAACCATCCCAATGTACTGGATCAGAATGAATGACAGAATGAAATTAGTGCCAAGAACATCTGGGACACTGCATGGTGCTGGAATCTATTGTGCAGGTTCTACAAGAGCTTTTGGCTAAAGCTTTACCTCCTGTTCTGCTGCCTATCTAGTCATTATTGTGAACAACAAAAGGGACAAGGAATAAAGATAGCCAATGACTGCAAGAAACTTGTAGATAATTAGACAGCTAACATTCATAGCAGGCCAAGGATGTAGGAAAAGTAAATGACAGACAGGCATTCTGCTCAGCTTACTCACACAAGCAGGGCTGGCCTGCCAATAGGTATGTGCTAGGTGATGACTAAAGGTATTGGTTAAAAGTGTAAACTTGCAAATTGGAACAGAAGTTTTATTCACTTTGCATCTTGTATTTCCTGTTGTGTTTGTGCAAGGCACTAGAGAATCAGGCACATAGTTTTGTGTGGAAACCCTTTTATGACTAAGATGATCTGAGTTTTAATGTTCAATAGCTTCATAGAGGAGCAGCTGGAGCACAGTCAGTATTAAAAACTGCCATTAAAATTTCCCACTTCTAAAATTATCTCATTTTCCAGATCTTTTGGGGAATGGGGTGAATGGGGAATTGGGAAATAGCTTTGTTTTAACAACAAAATATTTTTCTTTTCCTAAAGAAAAATATTTGGGATGAGTATGGTTGATCTCCACTCTGATACTGATGCTGGCAATTTCTTTACCAACGTCAATAATATTAACAATAAAACAGATCCTTAAATTTTTATATCAAGTTCTGGTTCTTGACATAGATGAACCCCCATCCAATTCCCTGTAGCACACAGACACTGCATGATGTGTTCAAGACATTCTCTGGAGGGTCAGAGACAATGACCTACCTCCCACAGAGAAACCAAAAACTGGAACTGTCATCACATGTAGTGATGACAATAAATGACCACAGCACTCAGGCTAGCTCCTCCTCAGGAGAACAAAGAAATCTGACTGGTTTGGAATGGTCAGTGCAGAAGTGTGAGATAAATCAGGTGTTAGGAGGAGAGTGACACAGCTCAAAGCAACACAGAAGCAAGAGACTGAAAAATGGAAGCGATTACTCCAGATTCTGATCAGTACTGCCAGCAGAAGGGAGGCTTAGCTGACATTTCTGTTCCTGCTGGCTGTGTGAGGACCACAAAGGGGATCTCAGCAGGCACTGAGCTGCTCGTGCAAAACGAGTTAACTGGAGCTCAGAGCACAAAGTGACTGCAGAACATTCTCTGCACGGCCAGGCTGCCGCCGGCCTTGCCTCACACACAGAACCTTGACAGGTGCCTGCTCATGAATCAAAATGCCACAGCCAGAAGATCCAAAACTGATTTAATATAAACCACTGATTAAAGGTTGAGTCAAAATACTGGTAATTTAGCTTTGTCCTGCAGGATTTATCAATACTTCTGACTCGTTAACATCAACTTTCTCTCCAACTTTGATGGCTTGTGGCTTTAGTCCTTTATGTAATCCATATTCAATTTGTACCAGTGGGCATTCTGGTCTGGCAACAAAACCATTCTTCTGAGCAGAAAGCTATAAAGAATAATCTTATTACAATAATTCCTAAAGTGCCCTCGGGAAAGTTGCTCACAATGCCATGACATTATAGAAACAACATTCAATCTCATACATTATTTTCAAAAAAATCCTCCAAAGCAAAAAGGAGGTGAACAACAAATATATAGGCAAATTCTATTAGTCCAACAACAGTCGAATTATGGAACGCTTTATAGTCTTGGAGTGCCTTTAAAATGGAAGGCGGGGAACAAATTGACAGGAATATCTTGGGAAAGTCCCAAATTTTTTAAGTTTTATCAAAGTAAGTACACCATCAGCAAACCCAGTGTTTGAAGATGAATTACCATGAGGTATTTAACCATGGAAATTGAAAAAATAGAACATGTAAAGAAAATCCATGTTTTACTAAGAGGAAAGAAGATAATACAGTGTCTATGTATATCCACTGACCCTTAGTGTCTTTTTTTTCTATTTGTAAAGAAAACAATCTTTCTCTTCCCTGTTAATTTCAGATTTTATATACACATATAAAACTATATAATATATATAGTTTTACATGTATATACACACACACATACAAAAATACTCATACACACTCACGTGTGTATATATCTCAGGGTCTTACTGCATTTCAGAGTCTGTTTTTCTTTGTTTTTTTTTGTGACTTAGAGAACACAATTGGGTAAAAAATCAAGTAATTGCATGCATGCAAGCGTATCTTGCCACTTGTGCATGTAAATTACACAATTTGTGAATAACTGCAGAAATAGCATGCTCAAATTAGGCACCTGATTGCCCAATTAATTTGTTCCCAGAAAATCAGATGATAACCTTCAGTAGCTCCTATTATAGATTCTTCTTTTCACTGCTACCCTATGGAATCCACAGTGTATATTCCAAACAACTGCGTTGTTATTTTGTGCTTTTACACAGACACAAGCAGCCCGGCACACTTAATAAAGCTATCAAGTGAACTTTGGATCAGATTTTAGAAAGTTGTTTAGATACTTAAAAGTCTTCTTATAAGAATGAGCCATCTTAGACAACTAAAAAAAATAAAAAAATATTTGGTCTAATTTCAATTGGTTCAAATGTTATGAAAAAAAATAACCCAGGAATTTGTGGCCCTTCAGCCTCTATTAATAGGCAAAGTTTTGCTTCTGTGTCTTTGATTTTTTTAAGGTGTATAAGTATTATTTCACCATATACATTCACTTCCTAGTAAATCCTTCCTTTATTTTGCATTTTGAAATAATCATTAATGAACAGTAATTTGATACAAGTGGACACAGAACACCAGGCTGCCGCACTCCAGTGTATACTTCCTAATGGACAGAGAAACTGAAATACCCCAATCAATCCAAGTACTGCAAACAGAGAAACTCATTAATTCATCTATCAAAATGAGTTAAGAAATGGTCTTTTACCACAAATATGCTGCTTCTTTGCTGTTGTACTTCTTTTTCTGAGATGATGTTGTGGAAAGAGGGTATTTTCTTTTCTCTACCGATTTTTTGCATCAAATAAATCTTAGTAACTTTAAAAGAAAAAGCTGAATGAACCATTATCTTAACAACAATCTCTGAAATAAGAGAAAAGGGAGCAAAAGCAGAACTGCTGGGCTGGATCATTTCCCTGAATAAGGTATTACATATAATCCTAGTGGCTGCATTTACCAGTTCTTCACAGGCCTCCTGCAGCAACAGCTGTGCTGGTCCAACTGTTCATCCCCCCTTAGAAAGGGGAGAGTAATAAGAAAAGCTACTGGAGCCCCCTTATATCCTTGTGGGTTTCAATCAAGCATCACCGTATTTCTTCCCTCAGACTTCTTGTGACAGTATCTGCTGGTGACTTGCCATTGCTGCTTTTCTTCCTCTAGAGGATCAAAATCCAATTTGGTACTTAAATTACTTTGTTCCACTCCACTGGTCTGTGCCTCTTTTAAAAAACTTCCAGGAGTGCTGCTTGTCCTTCTTGCAAAATCAGCTTTGCTTTTCTCCTATAAACAATCAAATGAAAATCCCAACTCTTCCCCACATGCCCTTTTCAAAAATATAATCATGATCATTTGTATCAGGAGAATTATTTAGCAGTCTCCAGTCTTAGTACAGCTTTTGTTGAGAAAACTGTAGCTTATATGACTCTGAAGTGTTTATTAGAAAGCTTTCAAAGAGATCTTCGTTTCAGGAAAAGAAAAATTGTTCAGTTTAGCAAATACAGACGTTCACAGCAGAAAGACTGAAATGGTTAAAAATGATCCTAGGGAGCAAGCAGCTCACAGAGTTAGCAAAATAATTAACATTTTCCTTTCTTTTACAGAAGAACACTAATAGCTGCTCTGGTTTCCACACTTACTGAGACAGATTTTGTTGTGTGGTCTTGGTTTTGCTTTTTTTTTTTTTTTTTTTTTTTTGCTCTATTGCTCCACACAGGTTTTAATTAGTGCTTCTCCTTAGCTACAAGTGCTTAAAAAAAAAAAAAAAAAACAACAAAAAACCAAAAAACCAAACCAAAACAAACAAACAAAAAAAACCACCCCAAAAAGCCAAAACCCCCAACACCACATCACTGGAGGGGAAAATGGGAAGTGATACAGTGCAGCTGCAGCAATCTGCTTCTGCTGTTGTCCTCCCCCTCCCCAAATCCTCTGCATAATTTCAATGGTTAGTCGATGAACCTTTGGCAGGCCTTCTTCCATCGGCAGGCAGTGCACCACATATCTCTGTTCTCCATCCCATAGACCTTCCGACACTTTTTCCCCTCCCCTCTAGGCTTCCTGTCAGAGAGAAAGGGAAGCTTGTTAACCAGATGCTTTTGTAGTTTTGCTTTTCACCCTAAGACCAGGACAACAAACTCAGTGGAGTGCAGGAGGCAGAGAACCCATGGCCTTTCATGGGGTTTGGGCTGGTTTCATTCCGGCTGGGAGCTGATGAAGTGACAGACACATGCATGGCTGTGACTCCATCACTCTCAGGGACCAGGCCTTCTCCTTGCCTGGCTTCCACAGCTTCTGTAGCAGCTGCTGAGCCTGCTCCTCTGCTCCTGGGATGATCCCAGGAACATACTGCCCTGACTTTAGCCAGCAACTAAACCTGGACTTAATGAATTATACTTTAGCCACATGAAGTGCCAAGCTGTAATGGGCAGCCATAGCTGTTCCACATACAGGCCAGGCCATGTCAGACTAAAGTGCTGAAGAGCTGTGGTAAAATATTTGGAATAGCTCAGAGCAGCAGACCTTGACCACCAAGAAGTATCAGCTATGCCAAAGCAGAGAAAAGCTACCAGCTCCTAACCTTGCTGGTCCTTCCTGCAGTTTGCTCTGAGCTCATTGACTGAAAAACAACAAAGTGAGCGGGAAGTTTTAACCCTTGCTCTCACTTGCAGCACGTTCTTGTGTGCACCTTCTCTGTGGTCCTCAAAGCCAGCAAGCTGGGCAGCACCTGCTTTTAAAGCTGTAACAATTGTCCTGTTTTCCATCTTACAACCACACTCAAAAGATCACAAGTTTAGAAAATGACCCAAGTAACTGTTAAAATGGATTTTTTAATTCAACACACAGCAAGGCAGCAAACCTGAGGAGCAATGCTTCACCAAGCAATCCAATGTTCACTACTGCAATGCCACCTGTCCCAGAATCTTTAAATAAAGTAACTGTACCAACAGAACTGTTTAATACCTGATTTATATGTTGCATGGCACACATGGGATTCCTTTCTTGCATACCCACATATTTTCTGATTACTGAACATGAATTCATGGGCACAATCCATGAATTGGGAAGATCCCAAGTTTGGTTTGTACCATATGCAATGATCTGAGAGTCATGAAGAAAATGAAAAGCATAAAATCTTCTTTTTGCCTCATTTTAGGGTACAGTCACCTTTAGGACTGTGAGAAATAAGGAGTTTCTTTACTGTAAGAAATTTAGCATTACAGTCTGAGTTTTTAACCTAGCTTTTTGAAGACTTTAAAAGTAGATTCTGGTCAAATATCAGTTAAATTTAGTGGTAATGAATGCAGCTTATGTCTAGGAAGACAAGGCATAAAAAGCTTTGCCTTAATCTAATTTATTGTAAGACAGGGCTTCTTATAGTTCAATTGAAGCCAAATGCCATTCTGACTGAATGGTGATAAACACATAAGACAGTCCAGCCTTTCAGGGAAAAGTGCAAAGCCAGACAGTGCAGCCGAACTTTACCTTTGATGGTAGTGAAAAAAAAATAGGTTCTGAATGCTTACTTTGAAGAGCTCTAGTAAGAACCTGCCTGACAAGTGCAATCAGGGCTGGTGGTGGGCTTTTTCTGATCCTCTGGCCACTGACAACTTATTTACAGAATACCCTCCAGGTTGTGAGGCTGTAGTGTCAGCAGGAGCTAATGGTCCCATACCTCAAGCCAAATGCTACTCGAGGCGGTGATGAAAGAACTGTGTGGGACTGTTTCTGCTCTCCACTCCCTGCAGCACGATTATGGGTTGGTGAGACCTGTCAATACAGACAAAAAAGCTGCTTACAAAGAACATACACATATGAATGCAGTAGAAATACTTTTTCCAAGAAAATGCAAATTATGCTGCATGGTGGCAAGGATACCCAGGAAAGGTGACTATATAACATACAAACATAATTAAGTGAAAAATTAATTTAGTATTAGGTACATTACATTAACTTCTCTTTGTTTCTCTGTATTCCTAGTCATCCTTCTAGAGCAATCCAAAATACAGATCAGCATTACTGAAGGTTTTGAAAAAGACAATAAATACATCCATTCTTATTTAAAAACTCTGAATAGCTCTTATGAAAACTTTCTCCAATAAGCAAAGAAAATAACTGGAAAAATAAACTCTGTTCTGTGCTGAGATCAATACCAAAAATCTCCTATGAAATAAAGGGATTTCACTTGTTGCACCTGTCTGTCACTTGGCACTCTTTGTGGAGAGACACCCTTGGAGAAGAGAGCTTGTTGAAGAGCACTTCCAGTGGGGCCCCTCGAGGTTTAACAGGCAGGGAGCACAATGCAGCCCTTCTGATCAAAGTTGCTAACAAGATGTATCTCCTTACCCAACACAGTAAACCTTCTCAGCAGGTGTCCTCTTTGTGAATGGTTCCAAGGGAAGGGTGTAGTTTGGTCTTCTGAGACTTTCCAAAGAAGTCTCCTACATGAGCATGGGGCTTGGCAACATCATTCAAGTGATCACACGGCATAAAGCTTGGCCTTAAATGATACCTACATTATTTTACTATGGTCTCATTTTGCTCCTGTGTGAAGGCCACAACCACTTTACATCTAAAATACCAGAAAAAAATTCTGAACACTCATTTTTTTGTTGTATATTGAATGTAGCATCTAGTGCACAGTCAGCCTCCTGCTGCCAGGAACTGCAGATATGGTCATAGTTCTCTGCACTGCTATGACTTTTCCCTCCTACCCTTTTCAAGTTTTACAATATCTGGAAGAGAGGGAACTGACTTCACTTGAAGAGAATTACTGTATGTGCTTTGATTTTTGATACAAAGTCTATTTTAAAGCTACTACATAGCAGTAAAAAACTAATGCTTGTAATTGAGTGCACACACTCATGTCAACTTTGCTCTTGGCTGGTAGCAGGAGAAATTTTTGATTTAACTGCGTATGTGGCTCACGCTCTGAACAAACTTAGACCATTATTGATATACAAAATATACCTGCAAAACTTGGAAGAAATTTCTTCCCTCTCTGCCAGCTCATCATGTTTTGTACATCCAAAGACCACATTAGCTCCTTTTGTTCTATCCCTCCAGAATACTAAGGGCAGCTTGTTCCCTGCTACTTTTTTCCAAATTTTTATCAACCACTTTTCTTGTTTTACCTAAGAATGACTGAAACACTGAAGACAAAATGCAAAGCAATAGCATTTTTGTAGTATTTGGCATTCACCAAACACTGTACAGTCTTCCAGTCATTACCAGTAACCAGAGAACTCCAGTCATTGTGCTAGGGTTCAGAAATATTTTAAAAAGCAGAAATTATTCTATGTCTACCACTAGTAACTGACACTCAATATATTAGCTGCTTGTCATTGAACAGAAGAATACTTGGATGGCCTCCTATGTTATAAGCAATTATCTTGCTACTTCCAAGCAGAGATCAGGCTGGAGCAGTAATTACAGCATGCAGACTCCTCCCTTGCATTCTCCTGAGAGGGTCTCTGCACAATGGTTCCACAGACTGGCACACCAAGGCAGCCACACAGCACTGAAGCTGAGCTGGAGTGTATTCTGATAGGCTTTGCAGCAGGTCTAACCAATACCAGACAGCTGCTCTCTACAGGGAACACTGAGAGCAGATTAAGAGCAAGCCCTGAGAAGGCAATCCTTGCTCTTGGAGGCTTTTCATGTCTGAAGCACTGTTGAATCAGAGTGAAATAATGCTGTTTATTTCAAGCAAGGACCTGGAGTTTCCAGTTACAAATCCTGGGGGGAAAATTGTGGTTGGAGAGAAGATTTGTGACCTGTAAAGATCAGATTATCAAAGATCTTGCCTGTTCAACCTTTTTGGGTCTTACAGCAGGCAGATCTAAGTAAGCATCAGATTGTGGAGATCATACTGACATTCAGGAAGACTTTTACCACACACTACATAGAAGTGGAAGTCATTATGTTAAGTCCTCCAGTACCAAGACATACGGACTTCACCATGGCACATCCCATTTACATAATTTAATTCACTCTCCTCACACATCCCTAGGGTATGGCTGATTTAGTCTCCTAATTCAGCCTCCATTGGTAGAAAAATCAGTCTGTCCTTTCTGCTTCATGCAAAGAACAGTACCTCACAGTAACTCATAACTGTTCCAACATTCAACCTTCCACCTGCAAAGTTTTCTTAGAAAAATGTTACGAAAAAGTGTATTTCCCATCTGCCTTGGAATCTAACCTGTGCATGATTCAGAGCACAAAGGGCTTTGGAGGTTCCCCAAATTACAGAACCACAGAATAACCTGAGTTGGAAGGGACCCACAAGGATCATTGAGTCCAACTCCTGGCCCTGCACAGAACATCCCCAAGAGTCACACATGACACCATGACCAGTACCTGACAGCACTGTCCAAACACTTCTTGAACTCTGCCAGCTGCTACTGTGACCACTTCCCTGGGGAACCTGTTCAGTGCCCAAACACCCTCTGGGGGAAGAATCTTCTTCTAATATCCAATCTAAACCTCCCCTGATACAACCTCAGGCCATTCCCTTGGGTGCTGCCCCTGGTCACCACAGAGTAGAGATCAGCACCTGCCCCTCCTCTTCCCCTCACAAGGAAGTTGCAGATTGCAATGAGGTCTCCCCTCAGTCTCCTCTTTTCCAGGATGAACAGACCAAGTTACCTTGGCCATTTCTCCTCCCTTATCACTACAAGACATCAAAATAAATGCCTGGGTTTAGATGTTGTGAACCCTCCTGAGCCTAGAGCAGCCACATACTGAGCCCAGCTGATCCAGCAGCAGGTATGGGTTGTTTTGATGTGCTCAGTTACTTGCTGATAAGTACATCCATATTCACAAAGGTCTTTCAGTGCTGCTCTGCTGAAGACTTTCTGAAAATAAGGACTTAACACAACTCCTGGTGTTTGAACACCCAAGTTCCCAGGACAGAAAGCAGGAAGTGCTCAATGTCATTGAAATTCATTGTCCACAAGAATGAAAGGGGGAAACAGTATGTGTCAAAAAATAAATGTGAAAGGAGACTATATTGAAAATATGTAGATCTATGCACTTTTTCAAATCTGTACCTAACCTTTTCCTATTCAGTAGTTTGTCCAGGCCAGAAAAGTATTCCAAAGCCATTTTAGAAAACTGCTTGCTTAAATATTAAGGGTCAGACAAAAAGTAATGGTTGGGACTTACTTTCTGAGGTTCCCTTGGGTGCTACAGATTTGTGTCTCATCTCAGGGACTGTGTATGTCACAATTGTGTGAGTTTGTTATGCTGGCTCTGTCACATAGTCTGGTCTTAAATAAACCCCATCAGAGAAAGAGAAAGTCTGAATGTAGGTGAAGTACCTACACTCAGTGTAAGGGTGGGAACTGGCAGATCCCTGATTTTGTAAAGCAATTCCTAATTGACTTTGAAACAGAAGTAAAACTTTAATTTAAATACAAGTATTTAACATAAATTTGCATTTGTACCATCACTTACTGCACATAATTTTTCACTGCAGCCAAGCCTTTGTAATTCATAAATGATCACACTGATAACAAAGTAGTCAAATGTGTGCAAACCTGGAAGATTTTTTTCTTATTATTATTTTTTTTCTTTGTTAAACAGCCTTATAAATGTTGTTAGAGCTATAATGGCAGTTCTAACAGTTCCCTGAGCAGTTTATAATTCTGCATCACTGCTTCCCCAGGCTTTTGTATTGGGATTACCTTCAAATTGTACTTAAATCATTGCCATCTCCACCGAATTCTCAGAAAGTGATTTAGCATTTCTTAAATTCTATTGAGAACTCTCCACTCTACAGCCACAGATCAGCGTTGTTGCCTGAACAAGTAAACTCAACGTGTATGTGTCTAATCCTGCCCTATTAAGTGTCTGATTTACAATGTGACTAATTGCATTTTTAGATTCCCAACACTCCTGGCACCAGTTTCTGCTACTTCACAAAAGGAGCCAGTTTCATAATTACTCCGTATCAACCCCATTGTTGGGAAATCAAATTCTCAGGGAACTCTGCGGATAGCACACTCTGTCATGGCACTCTTGTTGAAATTGCTGCCAGCATGATGTCTTTCACTGTTAGTTGTTCCTTGATGGAATTTAATAAATATTCATTGGCAGAGTGCAGTGTAATTGATTCAGTCACTTTCATTTTTATCAGCTCTGCAGGATGCCACAGCTTCTGCAGAAAATCTCCAAGATTTGCCAAAGGTTGACAGTAAGAAGCTTTGGAGATTCACTTGGTGAAGAGAAGGGAGGGAAAAACTATCTCTTATCGCCTTGTCTAATATTCACTGTCAGGAGAAAAAAGGCTATATGGTTCTTTGGATGAGCAATGTGCCTTATATAACACATTTTAAAAATTCATAAATTCATAAAGTGTAATATTAAATGAGATGTTATGATATCAAAAAGGTTTATGATTAGAGAATATCAATTTATCACGAAAACAGTGCTTTCCAATAAATGAAGATACTTTACATTAATATTTATTGCTATTAATCATAGAGAAAATTTCCCATTACTTATAAAGAGTGATTTGCATTTACTTTCAGCAGTCCCCACACCAGACACTACAAGCTGAATCCCTTGCAACTCTTCATGAAGGCTTTTCACTCCCCCCACAGTACCACACCTACACACTGTGGTGTACTATATGTTTAGAATCATTGCAACTCTGTGTTTAAGCAAATATCACATTTCTGCAGTCCTGTTGATGCCTTAGGATTTTAGCATCACTGTTCACAGAATTAGGCCTTGTATGCCAGTTGTTTTGAAGAAAGGGTCAGCATTGAATTTCCATCTAATACATCCTCATTAAAAAGCTATCAAACTGCAATATGTATTCATAACAAAATGCAATAGATACTGAACATGTTTTCTGTATAAAACAACATTTTCCTCATATTAGTAGGGGCTACATACTTGCAGCCTCCTAAAACAGGACTTTGCAGTTCATTTTATTGTTTCTTTCAGCTGCCTTTCAAAAATGCTTCACCTTCAGAGTTCATTTAGGTAACAGCCCCACTGCCTGAATCCAACTGGCCTGTTAGCATAACCGTCACCAGGCTGATTTTCCATCTAGTTTTTTAAGAAATCTCTTAGTGGCACAAAAATGAAGCACATAGTGCCAAGCTCTGCACTTACCAGAATGTTCTTTTGTAAGCATATAGTTAAAAAAATATATATACTATAGATTCAATTGCCTGTTTGTAGATACTGATGCAAAAATAACCTAACTGCACTGATAAAGAGAGTTACAAAGGTGTTAAAAACAGCTGGCAAATTCAGGCACATGTTTAATTTGTTTCCTTTTGGTGTCTGCTGTGTCACATTTAATTCCATAATTACACAGTGTGAAACAAAGCAAAAAGATCTAAAACCCCTTTTTTCTCCCCTTCTTTCCTTTTTTGATGTGCACTTACTGGAATGCCGGTGAAGGTAACTGGAGGCGACTGCCAAGAGATGCTAAAGCTACTGCCATTGGGAGTGAATTTGGCTGACCCTGGAATGTTCACCGGAGGAGTGGCCTGTGTGAAAAGAAAGTATTATTCCAGCAAGAACCATTCCTCTTCCAAAGGATCTTTCATTCCTTGAAATGGTAAATATATGAGAGATTTTCCAAGGCATAAAAAAGCTCCATGGTGACAAGCATTTTACCCTTGTGAGAGGGATAATCATGGATAAGCTAGTAAGGAAGGGACAGAGCTATATATATATACCACTGTTCCTGAACCATGTTTAGAGAAAGATGATTGCTCTCAAAAGAATCCAAAGAAAAAATTTAAGAGCTAGATCTGCTAAAAAACCAGACAAAATCAAACGGCACATACAAGTAACTTTTAAAATAATGCCAGCAAGAAGCAAAAACTACTTCACAGATGACCACTTGTTCCACAGTGATAAACAAGGCCATACTTAAACTCATGGCAGTTGTTTTACACAATTTTAGTGTGGACAGCAAGGCTTCTTGGATGGAAGCGATTAAGAGTAAGTGTTGGCCATTTCTTATTTATCAGAAAAATGTTTAGAGTCATCCCAATTAAAACAGTTTTTCCTATTAAGAACAAGGAGCTGTAAATCATCCTTTGGATTCAAAAAACAGCTCTTGAAATACTAAACTGAAGCAAGTATTTGGGCTCATTGAACTCCTATGTTCTTCCCATCTGGGCTGTAATACCTAGTGCTGCCCTGGGGTACAAGGGTGATAACCTGAGCTTAGACTGTTGAGCATTTTTCATCTTGTGTCTTTCCTTTGGTTTTCTCACTGGGTTATGAATTTCCATGAATTCTTCCCTGTCTCTTTTTTAATCCCATTTAATTTTCAGAATCATGAAATTCACAGTTGTGTAGCTACCCTGCCTAGCGGGAGCGTGAGCAGCCAACATGAACAAAGGCTCACTTTGACCCTTGAATTTCAAGCTGTTACAACAAAAAAGAACCCTCCTTGGTTTAAACTTACAAAGAATTTGCTAAAATGAGTTTTCACTTCTGCCTTTCAGTTGTCAGTACATGACAATAACACAATACACTCATTTAAGCAGTGCTTGTGTTTGGGGCTGCTGAAATTGTCTCACTGGTTCAGGAAGAGAGTGCTTCCTTGAGCCACCAGGCAGAGAGAAGTGATGAAAAACTACAACCTGATAGTCCCCATTAAAGATAGTCTTACAAGTAAACAAGGGCTGAAGCAATCCCCTACAGCCTTTCCAGGAAAAGGAAGGTGAGGCCACCAGATGCCTCTGTGTATGACAGCGATGCTCTGTGGGCTGCCAAGCTGCTGACAGCTCCAAGAAAATCCATACAGACATGCAGAGCAAACATCCACTGAGCTCCATAAAATATAAAAACCTCTCTGAAAGGTGTCAAGAACAATTTGGCAACTTCAGATGGTACCAGGAGTTGTTCAAATGTGAAGGAGTGAATGACCATAGAGCTCCAGACAGAAAGAACTGGAGAGAGCTGGATGAGCAGTGAGGCAGCACTGCCTCTGCTCAGCATCCCACAAGGATGGCAGCTCAAACCCAGGGTCTGCTCTGCAACTTCCTCAAGTATTTGAGTAAGACCTGGAAGGGAAATACTAGGTGCTGAAAGAGCCTGTCTGTAGCTCTTCTGTAGTTAAATTTAACAGGTACAGGCAATAGTTTTGTAAAGAAACATGAAGTTTAAAACTGACGCAACTAGCAGTTGCTTAAAATACCATAGTGCTCAATTCCTTTTTCTTAGTGCCTAAATATCTACCTCAGACATGATCAGACTTAGATACCAATTACCTTGTTCACTTGTTTCCAGATGTGCACCTTTGCTCATCAAGCACAGTCCACTTTTTCAGGCTAACATTTTAGTCAATCTCTTCCATAAGATAAGCAACTAAAACATTACAACCAACGGAAGAATTCCTATACCCCAACTTTAATTTGCTTAGAGACCTCCATCTAATTGCCAATCAAGATATGTTAATGAATAATTTGCATTTATTTGTGCCAACATTACTCTTATATCTGAAATAGCCCATGCTCATCCTCTTTAGCTCATGCCTGTCCTTTCACTTCCTTCCCAGGCAGCAATTCCATCTTCTTCTTGTCCCTTGCTTTGCCTGAGGTATCAGTCCCAGGACTAGAGAGGCTGCCCATGTCCTCTACGTCCTCTTTCTACTTCTTCTGGTTGGAGCCTATCACATCAAATTTGGCTGACCAAAATTCTAATTTAGGATTTCAGCTGAAGTTATATGGGGGTCTTGTATAATGGCATTAAAAATCCCTCTCTCTCCCAGGTATTTCTTATCCAAGAGAGCTGACAACTATTTTTTCCCCCTTCACAGCTCTATTGTTGTTGGCTCACAGTCATTCTGTGCTTGATTAATGAACATAGGCTTCCTTCTTACATAATTTTCTAACTACTCTAGTTTATAGCAGAAAAATCTCATTAGTTCCTTAAATGCAGGACTTTGCATGTTCTGACATTTAACTGCATCCAAAACCTATTATTCTTAAGGTCACCCAGTCACGTAAGCCTGATCTGTAACTCCCTTACTGCTGATGTCTTCCAGGTTTGTTATCAGTGAAGTTTATTATAGTATTTGTGTATTACCAAAATAATTTAATGAAAGTGAGATCAGGGCCAAGAACAGCTTTTCATTTAACTTCACTAATGACATTCAAAGGCCCTTTCAAAATAACTCACTGCTGTTCTCTGTGACTTTCCAGCTCCTTCTCCTACACTAAATTTAATCTCTTGCTTAACAAATACTGCCTGTATGTTTTAAGATCAAATGCTCTCCTTGAATCCAGAGGGATTTTTCTTTTGCTTCCTGTATTGTTCCAGCATCACCTTTCTCCAGGGCTCCCCCAGTGCAGTTTGCCTCAACTGCTGTACTTTCCAGAATTTCTTCAATTATTTTTCTGAATAATTTCTCGCCCATAGGATGGGGTCAGGGAAGAGCATCAGGACTTTCCTCAGTTTCCTCATATCTTTCTCACTACAAGTAGTCTATTTGATGTTTTCCAGTCATAGAGGAAATGGCAATTAATAGATCTCTTTAGGATTCTTGTGACCAAACTTTGGGTTCTGTATTTTTCCCCCTTTTTTTTAACAGGAACCCTGTGAAGAACAATATTCAGCCTCCCTTACACAAGTTCCTCAAGCTGCTCCCAGTGAAGTAATCTCCACTTTCTCCTCTGGCTGGTGAGATCTGAATCTCCACCCTGCCTCCTGGCCCTTCTTTCAGGGCAGAAGGGATCTTGGCAGAGGATGCCACTGACCTCTACAGAAGCTGCTTCCTTTGCCAGGACAGCCTGAATGCTTGAGCAGGGACCCTGCCTCCTGCTTCCAATTAACAAGCTGTGAACAGTGGGGACTGTGTCACTCCTTGCTGATGAAATTAAGCATTGAAACCAGAGCAACCTGAAAAGCCCACGGGGCTCAGGCACTTGTAGACTTGTGTCATGGAATACATCAATTCAAATCCAATTCAAGGATTTTAAACACTTGAATTAGGATTTCCTTGGCCAAGTGCTGTACTCAGAGGTTGCTTGCAAAAAAGGGTTGAGTGGGTCTCTGAACAGCAGGGCAGACTGTCATGACTACAAATCCCAAATGAAGCAAAACTTGTCATCAGCCTAGACTTGTTGCCTCACTCTCTGAGGCAGGGCTTAAGCTACACTGAGAAGCAAGTCTTTCTCCTAGCTGGTTTCATCAGCCCCCAGGCTGGCATGCTACCTGATGCAGCTTCCACCTGCAATGCCAAGCTTCCCCCCATGCTTTTCAACAGCACAAAAGTCTAAAACAAGCCTGTGAATTCTCTACAGCTCCCTCTGACCTTTTAGTAGGTGTGCTCCAAACACACCACAAAAGTTTTATCTGCACAATGCTATATATGATAGTTATTGAATCTGATAAATTTAACAGAGTTCTACAGTGCATACACAGGTCATGGACCACACTGCTTCAAAGCCTCTATTCTTCTTTTATCTTATGGTATCCAGACCAAAACATGTCAAGTTTTAGTGCAGTTTTATAATTAATACTTTCTGTCAAAACTTAGCTGGAATGTTCTTGGACAGCAGTTTTTGCCATTTGGAAAGCATCACCTCCAAAAATAGGAAGGTACCATATTTGTTTTTTCATTCTTCCTGCTCTACTTTACAACTGTAAACTGACATCTTACACTGTACAAAAACAGGAAATGAATTGTTCCTGGCATCCTTGAAATCAGTCTTACACTTGTTGACTCTTCAAGCAGAGCTTGTAGTTATTCAATAAAAACAAAGCTGAAATGAAGACTCTGGGAGGGATTCAGCTGACTGGATGGGAATTTTTACAATGCAGGAAACCCCATCTGAGTACATCACCCAGGGTTCTCCTTATGGTCAGTGAAAATTGAACTGATGTAGGGCAGTGAGATACACAGATCAACTCTTCTCAACCTGAAGTGTGCACCTATGTGTGGCCAAAACCAGCTGTGGCAGGCACATAAAGAAACAAACAATGAGCTCAGAAGAATGCATCTCAGTTTAAATAAAAAAAATGCCTTTGACTGCTCTGAAAACCTTTCAGCCCATGAAAAGCCAAACACTGTGCTGTGACATTTCTTTCCACATGAGTGAGATAAGTGTAACCCTGGAGCTCACAGCACTGGTGTTACCTGGTAAGCATGGTCTGTGTGTACGAGGTAGAGGTTGGTAGGAGCTGAGCGGCTCAGAGGTGTCATCACTTTAGTCTCGCTTTTGGCACAGGAAGTTTCAGGACGGATTGTGTCTTGGGTGGGAAAGGAAGGAGGAGATGCTAAAGATGGAGACACTGGGGAAAGACTGCTTAAGCCATCAGCTACTGAGTCCGTGTTGAGCCTGATTTCTGTATAGTAAAAATCCTCCTCTCCATCACTGTAGTCAGACTCTCCTACACGTCTGTATCGAGAGAAAGAAGTAAGAATTGATTGAATATATATGAATATATTCATATTGTCAATAAATTAATATTTGCAGTTTCAACCCTTCCTACTTTTTCTGCATTCTGACTGCAGGTAAGGGGAAGAGGAAAATAATCTAATCTGAAGGGAAAAGAAGTAGGAATTACTTTTTTCCCCTTTATGTATTATTCTTGACCAATTCTTTCACCTTGGAGTAGATGTTTGACTACCTGAGATCAAGTATCAGTTTCTCATCTGCAACTATTGTAAAGTTAACAAGAATCTCAATGCACTCTGTCTTTGAAAGTCACAGCAAAGGCAACAGACACAGGCAAGATATACTTCACTCATGTTCCAGCAAACAATATGCAATTGTATCAGAAGTTACTTAATTATACAAAATATACTTATGGCTGCCATTCACTGTAACTTTCTGTAACATAGCAGAAGAATTTGCTAGACAACAGTCTCACCATGCAACTCACTCAGACACAAAGAAAGCACTCATATAGGCTGGCTTGCCACAGCCAGGACTTTCTAGTCCTGCTCTCCAGAGGCAGACTTATTAAAGGAGGGCATGTAGGAGGTTTAATTGCCTTAAAGTTTCATCTGATGTGCATTTGAGCACAAGTGCCAACAGTGAACAACCCAGTCAAAGCAGTAGCTCCCAGCAGACTACACGTTATCTTGAAGTCCAAACCAGAAGGTGCTGAGAGAAAACACGTCCAGCAGGTTTGAAAGGCTCTGTCAGAGGTACCATCCATCAGAATGCAGCCAGTCACTCACCAAAACTACTCTTTCCAGAAAAGTTTCTAGCTCCAGCAAATTCCAGAAAGGTTTTGCTGTTTGTTTCTGCCTCTCCCACACCACAAAGAGGATGTCCCCATAATATAAAGCACAAATTAACATTCCTTACTGCATTTTGAGAGAGATTTTCTGTTTCCCACCCACAGCCTTACTCTTAAGCCCAATGGTAATTGTTGACTCTTCAAGACCATCCTGAGCTCCAGATCTTTCTTGTGGTGGCTTTAATTTTTAAGCTGTGGGTAACACAGATCTACAGAACAGAGATGTATTTTCACCTAACAGGTGAAGACCATGACTCCCAAATGTAATTATAAATGAGACAGGTACATCACTCAGTGAATTACATGGGAGAGTTCAGCTGCAAACTACAGCTCTGAAATAAACTTGTCTCCTAAAAGATCAATTTGCTTTTGCTTCTAGTCCAAGTAACATACATGTGTGTTCTGGTTTTGTCTGGCCTGGAGTTAACTTTTTTCCAAGTAGCTGGCCCAGAGATGTCTTTTGGATCTAGGATGAGAAGATTGTTGACACCACACTGATGTTTTAGTTGATGCTGAGCAGTGCTTACTCTAAATCAAGAACTTTTCTGTTTCCCATGCTCTGGCAGTGAGCAGGGGCATCAGAGGCTAGAAGGAAGCATGGCCAGGACAAAGGGATATTCCATACCATGAGATGTCATGTCCAGTAAATACCCTTGAAGGAGCTAGCTGGGAGGTGCTGATCACTGCTTGGGGACAGGCTGGGCATTGGTCAGCAGGTGGTGAGAAACTGTAATCACTGTAAACTGTGCATCACTCATTTCTCTTCAGTTTTGTTTCTCTGTCTCTCCCCTTTCCTTAGAAGTATTAGAGTCATTAGTATAACTGTTATTATTATCATCAGTGTTTTGTTTTGTTTAAGCCATTAAACTGTTCTTGTCTCAACCCACGAGATTTACTCTTTATTCCTTTGATTCTTCCAGGGAAGGAAGGGGATAGTGAGTGAACAGCTTTGTGATACTTTAAACCATTGACAACATGCAGCTCGGTTTCCTTTTATTTTCAGGTTTCTTATGTGGTTTGTGGTTTTGGTGTGGCTTTTGGCATTAATTCAACTCAGAACTGGCACAAGCACCTGACCTTATGTGAAACAAAGCTGGAAAGTATTCATGCAATACCCTGAACCTGTCTGCTACAGAGTGTCATCCCAGACATGATGTGCAGACAGCACATATGATGTAATGGCACTGAGCTGTGCATCTGACAGGGAAGTGCAGTGTAACCTCGAGCTCCATTTGACCTAGCAAAGCTGACAGAATTTCAGGAAAGAAAGTGCCTTGCTGTTGGAATAAGTGCTCATTCACCTTGATGCACTATTCCACAATTTCCTCAGAAACCCAGGGATATGAGACAGAGAAGCCAAGGGCAATCTAGTCCCCTAGTTCATCTGTCCAGCCAAGGGCAATTGCTCCTCTTTTATACCAAATCCTTTAGACCCAGAAAGACTCTCTTACCCAAGGTGAATGGTCCGTATGTGTTTCTGAATCCCTGCAGCTGTGCTCAGTACCTTCCCACAGTTCTTCCACAGGCATTTGAACATCACCTTCATGGAGTTCTGAAAATTATGAGTAAAGCAACATTAGTTGTATGGAAGTTGTACGGATATTAGGAAAAGTTTCTTCCCTGAAAGGGTTGTCAAGCACTGGCACAGGTTGCCCAGAGAAATGGCTGAGTCACCAACCCTTGAGGTATTTAAAGGACTTGTAGATGTGCTGCCTGGGGACATGGTTTAGTGCTGGACTTGGCAGTGCTGGGTTCAGGGCTGAGAATTTCTGTGACTCTGTAATTCTGGGAAGGTAGAAAAAACCCCAAACTACCCAAACCAGATAAACAGTTACAAAACCCTGTAAAGACTCAGAGCCTTTGACTCCAAATTCATAATGACCTAATAGTCTCTTATCAAACGTGTCACCCTACTGAATTCAAGAGAATCCAGTGAAAAGCTGCAGTAGCAGCTTGTGACAAAATTTTACTTCTCTCTGTTTATTGGCAACACTTTTCTATTTTTAAGTTTCAGGTCCTCCACTAAGGGAGGTAGATGATATAAAAACTTCCTATACTTTAAAAAAAACCCTGATGACGATTTTTCACTTAATCCAAGGCACCTTCTTAAATTAAGGTCTTTCCAAAGCTCTTGTAAATGTTTCTGCTCATGATATTTGCAGCAGAAAAAAATATTGTGGAGAAAAACATAGCTTCTGTTACGTCCATATTTGCCATGAGCTGGCACAACCTGCTTTTGTTTCACTCAGAAGCTGCTGTGGACCTTATCCAGACAAGAGAATGAGAAGTTATCAGTCTGTGTTCAATATTTTAAAAATACAGATATAATCTCATTTAAATATTCTTTTTATATTCTTTAATATAACTTAATTGATCCCCACTGAGTTATCATTGATTTAGAGCACACCCAACAAGGCTATCACTAGGCCAATCTTCAACATTTTGAAGACTCAGGAGACAAGTAGGCTTAAAACAACACAGCTGCAACAAACCCTAGGGATATTTAAAAGCTATTTTTACCTCAAAAATCAAAATACTGTATTACAAATCTATAACTTCTGTTACATATATGATTAAATTAATATATTAATATAAAATTAAATTTTAAAAAAGGGGGAGAACAAGCACATCCTTAGGGTTAAGTACATTTCACTGTGCCTTGAACAAAAGCTGACTTGGTGCTTCCTTCAATTTGGACCCTTTGTAACTGCATGCCAGTAGATGGTTTCAGCATTTGTTAGAAAGATGATTATTAGAATATAACTTAAAAAATAATCTCAGTGGATGGGCTTTTTAAAATAGAAGTTGATTGTAGTAACATGTTCTCACAGTTCCCTGCAGTCTAACATCCCCTGTTTTAAAGTATGAATGCTTAAGGCTTTGAGATTTGAGGTCCCTGATCATACTGGTTGTACAAAAACTTCTGTTTGGAATAAATTGCACATAAATTGCCCATTTTTTATTTGATAATACAACTATCAGTCAAACAGAGAGAGAACTCTTTCTTTTCTCAAATTAAATATAATCTATCTAGCAATTCTGATTCATACTTTTCTTCTTTCCATAATACAATACTAAATACTATTATCAGCTCAAAACCACACAACCAACCACCAAATATGTCAAAAAGATGAAGGCCATGTTTATAACTGATATCCTAGAAATTCCAATATGACATCATAAACACCATACACATCTTTATGAGCACAGAATGGTTTAACATCCATCCCCAGTTTGATGGTAAAATCTGTGGTTTTTGGATTTATTGTCATTGGTAGGAGTTTGCAAAAACCCACATGCTTTTAACATAATCAAGTGAAAGCTCACTTAGTAGAAATAAAGAATATGCTTACATTTCTTCCATTTCCTTTCCAAAAATTATTTTATTTAAGAAAATTTAAGAAAATTATTATTTTATTTAAGAAAATAATGGAACATAAATGGTTTGGTGAGGAAGAACTACCTTAGAGGAAACTTTTAAGCAAATAGTAAGGTTACCAATCACTCTATTTCCAGGTTTACTCCTTCTGACTTTTGCAGCCCTGAAGAAGAAATAACCTGAACATTTTTGTTTCAGCTTCTAAAGGTGCTAATATGTACTCAGATCAAGTACCACCTGGAACCAGAATGAAGAAAAAACCTGCAGGAAAGCAAGTTCATTTATAAAACTAAGTTTGTCATGGAATGTTACTGTTTATCTAAATAAAACATTTGCCAAATAAAGCCAGATCCTTGTGAACCAGAGCAGATAGTGTAATAGACCTATGGTGAGTACATAAATAGAAATATTTGAAAGCAACTTAGAAAACAATAAAGATGGCAGCTGCAAACCCATCTGTCTCATCACAGCTGAGCAGTAAGAGTGGGGCTAATAAGATGAAGGTTAACTGAGAAGTAAAAGGCAAACCAGGATATTTTTGCACTCCTACTCCTCCTGCCCCACACCCCCCCCCCAATTGTCTCTCTGTTTAATGCAACGCTCAGCTCCAACTTCTAATTTATTATAAAAAAAGTGTCCTCCAAAATATATTTTTTCCTTCTTAGTAAGATGCACAAACATTTTCAACCCTTTCCCATGAACAAGGGGACAACTGCATGGGTCAGCAAATAAGCAGCTTCTGGAGCAAGAGGATAATCTGAACAGGTTTACACTATCATTAAAACTTCTTCCTGCTGGTGATGAAGCAATTAACTGTCACAGACTGAGCCAGAAACAAATTCACTAAGGGAAAAAATTCTCTGTTTTTTCTCCTTACAAAAAGCCCTTTTACATCTTGCTATGTAAAATCTATCCTGCTGTGTTGGGAGGGAAGGAAACTTGGACTAGTGCCATCTCTTTGTTTTCTTTTTCTTCCAGAGAAGCTTGCTGGCTAGCAATGGTGCTTTTTTGGGGTTAGTTTTGGACCTTTTTTTTAATGTCATGTTTTATTTAGCTTGCTTTTGCACTCCAACTGAGGATAAATTTGGCTAATGCTAATACTATACCAAAAGCCATCGGGTTTGAGCTCTCTCTCTCCATTTTCACTCCATATGTTTGCACAGAGAAACCTTCACAGTATTAAGGTATCTGACACACTGTCAGACAAACAGCACTTTCAGGGAACAAGGAGTATTAAGGCCATAGTCAGTTTTTGTGATGACATGTAAAGGCTGCCTGTTGCATCCTGAACACAGAGAATTTGTCAAAGTAGGACAGAAAACCCTTGAATGGCCAGAGGCAACACCTTCTGGAAATCCCTCTAGTGTTTTCTGAGCAGGAGGCTCTGTAGCACCTCACCATCTGGCAGGAAATATGTGGTGCTGATGGCAGCATGTATGTGCAGGAGGTGACCACGTTGAATGAGACACAGTGACTACATGAAGTCCCTATGTTAAATGCATGCCAAGGGAGGATACACAAGCAGAGCTATTTGGATGACCTGTTCCTCTCTCACAACAAAATAAACCTACCAACATCCTATCTACCCATGGATGTGGAATTTAACATAAGGCTAACCTTTCTCTTCCTAGGAATGGGTTCATCAAAGAGAAGGTTGCTTGTTTCCCCTTCATCAATACCATCATCTGCCTGGGAAGGCGTCCGAAAAGCTTTGAAGCTGTCAGCTGATAGAGGTGGAGATGGGGTGGATGGGTTGGACTGGTCACTGGGAGCGTTCCAGCTCCAGTATCCACTGCTGCTGGTGCTAGAAGGCACAAATCCTCCTTCTTTCCAAGATCCATTCAGGGATTCTGTCAAGAACAACAAAAGCTATTATCACAACCGTATCATTGTGAGAGAGCTAAGGAGCTCTTTTTTCTAAGGTTTAGATGCCATGTTGGTAATTAAATGCAAATTCAGTAAAGGAATGTGAAAGCATTGGATGTAGAGAGGACAACCATATCTAACCCACTGCACACGAATTAAATTCCACATTTGATTTTTATTTAAAACAAAAAAACAAAAGCAGCAAAGTATTTTTCTAAAAAGAAATGTTGCATTTGAAAAGATAACCTGTTCTGAAGCATAAACAGTGATAAACCATCATATATTGCATGCATGATTTAAGGAAAACATTTAAATTGACCTTTAAATTGACCTCTATGATTCTAAATACATCCTCAACTTTCAACAGGAACACAGAACTCTGGTGTGGCACCAAAGCAAGCTCCAAGCCACCATACTGCCAACAGGAGATCCCCTGGGAAGGGGACACACACTCTGAGCCCCAAAACATTAAGCAGATCCACAAAAACGTGACCATTGTCCCAGTACTAAAACACCAAAGAAAACCATAGTTACACTCTGTTCTTACAATCTCTCAATACACCTGCCTCTGCCCAATCTGAGCCTCCACACGAGGTGGGGTATGTATCCCTTGGGATCCACAGGTGTGCAGGCATCTGCACATCTCAGAAGTGACCACACAGACACTGGATCACCTGCACACCCACTGGAGGAACTGCCTCCTCAGTGCTGCAGCTCCCCATCCCTTACAGGCTAAGGAGACACTGGAACTAACAGCTAACACTCTGCATGCAGCACCATGGCTGGGAGCACCAGCGCTGCCTGTGCAGCCTGAGGCACAGTTCGAGCAATGCTTCATTCACATGCAGAGATCATCAGGCTTTAGATGCTGGCATGTCACCCTTGCTGTCCCTAAAGGGCTGCTGGCAGCAGAGAGCATGCAGGTCATCTAACCCATGGCCCAAGCACACCCAGGGTGCAGCCACAGGCAGCTCTGCCAGAGCCCTCAGGTTCTCACAGGGCTTGGGCAAATGAGCAGGGACTGTTTAGGTGCAGCTTCTCCCTAACTCAGGCATTGGAAGCTCTTCCCAATGACACCGTGGGTGCCTGAGTATTGTGCAACACCTGACTTTGGAACTGGCAAGCAAGTAACATCTTAGCTGTTCATGAAGCAGTATTTAAGTGTGAGACAAGTCCTTTCAAGTCGGTGCCTGTCTTTAAAAGATCTGCAGAAGTCACTCCTTCATTCCTTCTCAATTTCTTACAGATAAATTTAACTAATAATATTGGCAAGAAAGTGAGTTATCAAAAGCTTACCCCCAAACAAACCAGTGAATTTTTGTGGTTTTTTTTTTTTTTTCTCCTAATTGAGTTGGTTTTGAACAAAATCCTTAATGACTAACATCAGATACTCAAAAAACCAGAACACAGTGCCCCCTTGAGTAGGCAGCTGCTACAGTAGTACTGATTTACTGATCAGGACCACACAGCATAAATGGAATTGATCCTCTCCCTCCAGCCTGCCCAATTCTTCTTTGGAAAAGGACAAACATACATGTTCTGGCAGCTCTGAAGCTAACATGAAAATGTCATATTTTGTCTCATGATTACAACCTTCATGTGACTGTAATGAAAGTGGGTTTTGTTTCTTTTATATATTTGGTACTTCAGTCTTGTGCCAAAGCCAAAAATTGCATCTGGTATCAACTTGTGACCTTAGCATAGCTTAAAATTTTCATGTCTTCAGAAAAACACAGGAACACTCTTTCAACTACTTTCTGAAACAGTTATGGTGCTATTTGTATTCTCAGTGTGTACAGTTCTCCTCACCTTGCTGAGAAAGAGATGTAAATCAAGAGCATTTTTTAAGTAGCTTGGAAAATACTGAATGAGGTTAACAACAGGAAAAAAACCAAACACTGGTTCTCATTCATACTAACAAATCTGTTAATGTAAAGAAGTTTAATATATAAATAAATGCAACTTACTCTTATTTTGGGGCTCTTTTCACACTGCTGGAGTTGCGTGAAAGAGAACCAGACCAAATATTATTCAACTGCAGAGAAACAAGGGCCAAACTCTGATCCAGTTTACATGGGTGATCATTCCCAGGAATTCCAGCATGGATCTGACTTTAATATTAACGCTAATGTAATTTTATTTTTTACTTCTAGGCAAAATTCCATTTGTTTAACAAATGGTCCTTTAATTATACTGCTACTTACTGCCCTTTTTTGGAAAAGCGTGTAGAAAAAACTAATCACTAATACATTTGTTGCTTGTATTACTAGGATCAGAGCCTAGCCTTGCAAGACCAAATAAGCTTTAAATTATCCAGTCTTTATACTTCTATTCAAGTCTTTAGTAGGCCTTGACTAAGGCAAAACTAAGATATTCAGGGAGAAGGTGCCCAAAACCAGCTTCAAAATCTTGTCTGTAGCTATTGAAAACATGTGAACTACACTTTCAGGCTAGTCTTCCCAGATTTTGGGAAACAAGCAGACAAGCTAAATGAAGAAATATCAAAGAGCACTCAGACTATGCTGAGAAATATCAAAGGCAGTTAAACAGCCACCATTTGCTATTAGCAATTCAAAAGGGCTTGTTTGGAAGATCTTGCCAATCGACAGCTGCAGCTAATGTGCACTGCTGCTCCTGACAAGTGTCACCTGCTCAGCCTAAGGTGGCAGATACTGCTTCACCCACAGCAGAGCAGCTCCCCAGGACAGGGATGCAGCAGGGCACATGTGTATGCCTTGGCCACACCAAATCCCTGCTTGCCACATCAAGCACAGATCCATCTTCAGCTGTGGTTTTGTCTGTGAGCTGAGCAGCTGGAGAGCAGGTGTGCTTTTACCCTTCTGCTGGCATTTCCCAGGGGCTGGCAACATCCTGTCCTGAGGTGTGACTGTCACAGGGATGTCACTGCCTGAGGTTTCCCAGGGCTCCTCAGAGCAGTGGCACTCCAATAAACACTTCTGGCTTTCAACACTGGAAAGCACATGAACAAAGGCCATGGGTGTTCACGGCCAGAATTCCAACTAAATGGATAAAACTTACATTTTCTGAAAATAAATGGAAAAAACACAGCACTGACATTTGCTATGAATTCCTTTAAGAACATCATACTGTGGATCATGCCTGTTTCCACGAAGAAAAGCAAGTATTTCTCAATCTTCCAATGACTGACAGTAGGAGAGCATCTAGTGGTTTTTTAGCAGTAACAAGTGATTAAGAAAACTCAGTCATACAAACAATGCTGAGGTACCTTAACAAGGGTATCCTAATTCAATAATTCCTTAAAATAAAACACTCCTAAAAATTTGTATTTTGTAATAAGTGTAATAAAAATTGTAACTCCAGTCAATCTTGCATAGATCAATTATATTTCATAATCGATCTCCTCATTACCTGAAACTTTTTACATTTTTTGAAATTTGGGTGTCTTCTGCTATACCATGAATGAAATAGTCTTTACAGGAATTATAGATTTGATGGAAGACCATCAGAGAGTTACACAGAGCACAGGAACTGGAGGTGCAGAGAAGCAGACTGCTTGCTGTGCAGATTGCTACTGCACGGCCTCTCAGCCAAGAGATCTGGAAGTTCTTTGCCTTATTGTGGCTTTGGGTAAAATCTGATCTCATTTCCATGGAGTGGATGACAAGAACAACTGCTCTCATGTTTCCTGGATATGGCAACTCAGGACATGGTTTAGAAGTGAACATGGTGGTGGTGCCAGGTTGATGGTTGGACTTGGTGATCTTAGAGGTCTTTCCCAATCCTAACCATTCTACAATTCTAGGACTGTAAGTGTGCAAATGCAAACAAACTCTTCGAAAAATTAAGTGTTTCAGAGGCATCAAGAGACTTTTTGAAGTGCTCATATCCCATTTATGGAATGGGCATCTCCCATTTCATAAACCAGAGCTGCTCTACAGTTAAAGAAAATGTTTCTTTTCATTTCTGCCAGTGCTGCAGCAGACTTGGACTAGGTTGGAGCAAAGCTCAGTATGATCCCCAACATAGCAGAAGACAGCCACTCACCATTTGCTCTCCACCATGGGCACAGCTCCTGGGAACAAGCCCCCCTTCCCGCAGCCCCGGGCTCCAAAGGCTTACCGTTGGGTCGGACAGGAGGGCTGCGGACCAAAGGGCTGGTGGATAAACTGGTGAGTACCATGGCTGCTGTTACTTTATCCATGTCCAGTTCTTCCAAAGATTTCCTGAAACACAGTGAGTGGGAGGCAGGAAACACATCAACAAAAATTTAACTCTTTTTTAGTGTTTTTTTTTTTTAAATACCAGCCCAAATCCTAAGCCAGCACAGCACAGTAACAAAAACAAGCCACTGCACAGAGTTCTCCAAACCTTGATTTTCTGGCAACCTGAGCATATCAAGAGGCTTCTATAAGCAAACTAACTCAGTGTTAGCAGGAAAAGAAATAGGAAAAGAGAATACATCTTTGTATAAAATTTTCAGGATTACTGTGACTCTCTAACTTTGACTTTGTTCCTTTTTTATTTTTCAGAATTTCAGCTATTCATATTCTTAGAGTGAAGTGTGTTCTTAAGGTGGTTTTCTTGGATGAAGACAGAGATGCAAATTGGGTGAGATTACTAGCAACATTATCAACATACATTAGTCTCTGTAGGGTAAAGAAAAACTGTGAACTGGAACTAAGGGATGTGAGTTCATTGCTTCTGCTTAACTACTAACATTCCCATGCTCTCTGCAAAAGATTGATCCTAAATTTTTCCTGGTCAGATCAAAAACCAAATATTTTAAGAAATTAGGAAACTGGCATAAAAATGGTGCAGGAAGGGTAGGAGGGTAGGGGAGAGAACGGGAGAGAGGGAGAAGAAGAGAGGGAGAGAGGGAGAGGAGGTTGTTTTGCAGGTGTGATGGGTGCCTAAACCAGCATGATGGCACAGGGGCCCACTGCTGTCTCAGCCTGGTCTCCATGGGAACCTGTGTAAGTCAGAAGAAAGGACATGGAGAAGGAGTAGTAAGGGAAAGGAGAGCAGCCAGCTTTTCAGGGAAAGGAAGAGAAGATTTGGACAATGGTAAATGCCACCAGGAACCAGGATACAGTGATCCATTGCTCAAGGAGTCATGGGGGGTTTGTTAAGCAAGGAAGGAAATTTTTTTTTTGTCTGTAAAAATTATGTTCTGTCTTTTTTACCCAAGAGTAACTCTCTCACAATGTAAAATTTCTGAGAAGTCAATGCACCAAAATAAAACTACCAATCCCACTATATTAGCAGACTTTTGCTTTCCACCCTTGTGGGCTGGAAATCCTTGTGGGATTTCCACCTTGTGGGTGGAATCAAAACAGACAATTTTTTGAAAACGTTTGCTTTCAAACATATGACTGATCATCCAAAATCATCTTCTCAATTCCTAGAGATCAAGTTAATTTTGTTCTTACAAAAGGACACTTCCCCCCCAGCCCGTATTCTGCTTTCTGGGTCTCTGGAGATATCTCTGTGCCTTGTCAGGAGCTCTACTGAGCAGATCAGGCTGAGTCTAATTTAAAGCCCAAGATAATAAGTGGCCAGTACCTGCTGTTTCCCATCAACTGTTGGTCAGTAAGTCACCAAGAGGAACAGGATGTGCTGGGTGCACTCCCTTTTCTGGAATCCTATCTCACCCATCAGGTGGAAGATTCATTAACTGGAAACTATACTACAGTGAAAGGCTCTTGGTATTTTAGTGAGCAAACTTTGACCTTGCCCATGAAAAGGTTCACAGCTGCTTTCTGGCTGATGCAAGGACACACACAGATGCTGATGAACACTCTCCCACGCCACACAACAGCTTAACTCTCACAACTGTCTTTTGCAACACATCAGTGCCTGGAGCTGAACCACTGATGATGGTTCCTGCTACATTCTGATTATATCTGTAGAAACCCTTCTTTCCTCCAGCCAAGGCTTCTGCAAAGAGCACAGCAGCCATATGGTCATCATCAAATATTGGAAAGGTCTTGGAATGTCTGCTATAATCAGCTGAATTCTTAATCTGTCACCCATTAGCTCCTCATGCCTGCAGAGGACTGTTTCACTCAGAATGCCAAATTCCTCTGGGCTCAGAAGACCCTTCCTCAGGGCTGACATAGAGATGCTACACTTTCTCAAGACCAACACTGCCAGATGATTTTCCAGTTGCCTAATATCCCAGTATGAAAATCTAGTTTCTGAGAAGGCTTCACCTGCTCTGTAGCCCATTCCTGCCAGACTACACCAACTGTCCCTGTGACTATCCAGCTGTGAATGAATCATTACTATCTGCATTTCTGCAACATACAAGGACAAAATGAGCAAAAGTTCCTGATAAGATGGAGAAGCTGATCCCTAGTGTTTGCAATCAGCCTTCCAACAAAGCTCTTCTGTCTGTGTGGCAACAGGACTAACATGTTCCCATCCAGGCCTCTCCAGGATTGCAAAATCACACTACAGCAGTTGCTGCAAGTGTCTGCCAAGTTGGTGTCAAGATGTCAGAGTCTAGACCCGGAGCTAATCACAAAGTTTCCCCAAGCAGTTTATAACTACCTTCTAGTTATTTTGATTTTTTTTTGTCCCCTCTATAATGAGAAGCACTGCTGTTCTGAAAATCCAGCCCTTGCTCCAAATAATTTTACAATGTCCCAAAATTGTCAGCACTGGCATCTGTACTTAAAGGGGAAATTTTCACAAGCAGGCAAAGACTAGGAATAGTCATGGGAATCCTTGCCATTTCCAGCCATGCTAAACTACACTCTTGCAATTACTGGAATCCTTTTTTCTTCCTGATCCAATTTACCAGGATAGCAGCCCAAATGAACTTTGGGCTTTCTCTTTGCCCATTCTGAATGACAGTCATTTATACTATTTACTGCTCCTCAACTGCATCCAGCAAGCAAGAACACTCTGCTCATACTTCCCAGCCACAAGAATTTTAGCAGCTACAAGTGTTGGCTTATGTGACTCTGTTCCATTTTTACAGTTTGGCTCATAAATGTAAACACACATATTTCATAAATCATTCAGCCAGTACTGCAGCAGCAGCCTTTGAGATATAGGCAAGGCATAAAACTGAAGACAGCAACCACTAAAGCCATCTGCATTTAGTCAGCATCACATGTGAGTTCAGGCCTTAAGATTTCCCCAATATTTTCCAGCTTTCTCTACTAGAAAGCTGAACCTGCACACAGCTGTTCAACACTATTTGGACTCAGAGGGGAGAATAACTTGTTATGCATCAATTGTTCCCAAAACATTTATCTCACCATTGCTAAGGCGATTTTCTGTGCACTGAAATCATAAGCCCTGATGTTACTGTTTTTAGGTGTAATAAAATTTAAATCAGTTTTAAGATCATGTACCATGTCAATTATGAAGACTTGTTCTTTTCTCTAACTCACATCCCAGTCTCCAAATTCCATCTCCCAACTTCTGGATGGATGCATTTGTGTCAGCCCAGTCTGCATTTGAGAACCAAGCAGTTTTGGATCCTTTCCTTCCAAGTGTTTGTAAATCCAAACACATGAAATAGCCGAATTACAATGAATCAGCTGAGATATTAGCAGTAGAAGTTACAGGTCCTTGAGGTAGACCTTTTACCACCACCCCAGGTCTCTGTTTCATGTCTCCCTGCTTCCTCAGCAGGGAGAGTGGTTTCACTGGATCCCTGCAACACACTGATCTAGCCAGCCTGGCAATTAAGTGTCCTTTTCTTTAACAGTCAAGGCCAATCAGACTTGGTTACTACACTTACCCTTGATCAACCCTTTCTTTGATTTTCTGATGAATTGATTGCTTTTTTGATAATAATTTATCAATCAAACCACCTATCACAGTTTCCCCAGTCAAAGCTATCTACAAGGAAAGGCTGGGTTTAAGCTCCAAGAGATGAGAAAAAGAGTGTCCCGGACAAGTCCGAGGCTATGCAAATGCTCCAAATCAATGCAGTGTCCAATCTCCTGCTGTCCCATTTCTTCTGCCAGCTCCTGGCCACTGTTACCTTCAAACTCCCTCCTATGTATTATTCCCATCTGGACACACCTATATGACAGTTCTATTTATTTTTTTTTTCTATTCTTCAGGCTTGCTCTCAAAGAAATCTTTAGAAATACAAATTTTATTCTAGTTTTTCAGTCTTTACACTACTCTTTATTACTTGCTTGGCTTAGATCAAAAAGCCTGCAGTCTTTCCTCTTGGAAAGACTGCATTTTAAGTCTAATGCTTTTACCTAAGCATATTTTAAGGGTACTGGAGAATATTCTCAGAGCAGAGAAAGTGGTAGCAGGTGCTTTTGATAAAATTGACCCTATTGAAGAGCACAACCAAGTTTACTTGAAGAAAAGAAAAAAAAAATCATTAACTAGGATTGATAAGAAGAGAAGCAGTCAAGCACAAAAATGCTATTATTCCATGTTAACTGTCTACTGTCCTCCACCCAAAATTCAGCTTATGACAGTGGTTCACAAAACACCTGGAGACCTTTTGTAAGAAGTACCATATAAATATGTGTGCATTAATAAGCTATAACTGGGACAAAATAAAACTATATTTAAATTGCTCTCTCCCTCCCATACTTACATGTGCTAAATTCTCATAAAGAAACCTCTGAAACCTGAGTCTGGTCACTTGACTACAGCCACATCACACTGATAATGTCATACTGAGCACTGCACCAATACTGATAAACACGTTGTTAGAAGCTTTCGACACCAAAAATCTGATTCATTATATAATGAATCATTGTCATCAGTATACGAGTAATAACAGAAGCACTTCTGAAGTAAAAATCCTAAATCACATTTTATAGGTAAAATAAAAATATTTTCATTTTCTTCAATTCATCATTAAAGGCAAAAACCAACATCCCAACAAAAAACCAGCAAGAAAATCCATGTACATGACTGTGACTCCATGTATCTCAAGTAACTACAACCACTCCTCTATAAAGAACTACATTATGCTTCAAAATATTCTTAGTCCATACAAGATTTCACATTTACCATAATACTTGGTTACCATGTAATAACTCAAAATACTGACAGTACAGATAAATTATCTTACTTTGTGCTCTTGTGTTTGGTTGCTGATTATGGAGATTAAAAATTACTCACTTGCCAAACACAAACCCACAAATGACAGAGAGAATAATCCATACAAATAGTCCAAGGTCTTCAGCATTCTTTAGTAAAAGCCGTAACTTTCACAATAAAGCAAAAAGCA